ATGAGCCCCTAATAAAACGATTAAAAAAAAGAAAAGAAAAAGAATGGAAGGTGTTGAAGGAAGAAGTGCAAGCTGCCCTGAAGGCATTAGGCCCAAAACAAGGCTCCAGGAGTTGATGGGATGCCCACTGAGAGGCTGCCACATGCTGACCAAACACTGGAAGGACTCCCTTGCCTATGCCAGGGAATTTGGAAGACAGTTTCCTGGCCGACTGATTGGAAAAGATTTATACTGATTCCACAGAAAAGTGACCCAACAGAAAGCACACATTATCTAACAATACTGGGACCAATTTTTGTTTTTTTGTGATCAGTAATATTGTATGCAAGCAAAATTTGGTTGAAGGTCATTCACTAGTGGTTGCAGCAGTACACCCACAGGGGGCTGCCAGAAATTGACTCTGGACTCAGAACAGGGGATGTCATTGCTGACACCCGATGGCTCTTGGCTCAAAGCAGGGAATCCCAGGGAGATGTTGACTTGGGTTTCGTTGACTTTGCAAAGGCGTAGACTCTGCGGGTCATCAAAACTATAGCTAGCCTTGAGAAGAATGGGAATTCTTCACGAGGAACCGGTCCATGGAGCCAGTTGTGGGAGCAGAACGAGGGAAGACCGCGTGGATTAAAATGAACAGAGGTGTGGGTCCGGGTCCAGTCGGCTCAGGGACCTTTTCTCCGTCCCTTTCACCATTGGATTGTCTTTTTTGTTTTCTGTTTGAGGTGTTGCCATTTCCCATAGATTTTAAAGATTAATCCCTTGTGAAATATTTTAAGCGTTTTAAGTGTTTACAATAAATGATCGCGGCCTTTCCTGTGGATTACAAATCAACGAAAGGAAGACGGAAGTCCTCGCGGCATGGACCATCGTGATAACAGAGAATAGGTTGACGTTGTCGAGGATTTTGTCTTGGATCCACACCCCATACTAGTGGGAGCAGCGGTCAAGAGATCAAAAGGTATATTGCATTAGGTAAATCTGTCGCGCGCGCGAGGCCTTGTTCGAGTATTGAAGAGCAAGGAGGTTACTTTGAGGACTAAGGTGTCCCCGGCCCAGACCAGGATAGTCTCCTTTGCCTCATATGCATGTGACAGTTGGACACGGAAGAAGGAAGACCGTAGAAGAAGGGATGCATCTGAACGGTGGTGCTGGAGAAGAATTCTAAACGGACCATGGACTGCTGAACGCACAAACTGATCTGTCTTGGAAGAGGTACAGCCAGAGTGCTCCTTAGAGGCGAGGATGAAAAGACTTCGTCTTACGTACTTTGGACGTGTTTTCAGGAGAGACCAGGCCCTGGAGGACATCGTGCTTGGTGCAGTGGAGGGCAGGGAAACAGAGGAAGGCCCTCAACGAGATGGAGGGACACAATGGCTGCACCCACGGGCTCAGGCAGAGGCACAATTGTGAGGACCGAGCAGGACTGAGCAGGGTTCCATTCTGTTGTGTGTAGGGTCACTATGGGTCGGAGCCAACTCGATGGCACCTAACAACAACAACAACAACAACAACAACCACAGCAATGAGTGTCTAAAGTTTAGGAGGTCCCCGGCATCTGCTCTGTCCTCTGTTGTTTGTGGGTTTCATTATGCCGTGGGTGTATTTATGGCGTGCATTCGGGCCTGGAAGTCCCTATTTTTGCCACTGATGGTCTGTTTGTTCTCGGTTTTCCGTGTAGGTCTTTGATCCATCTCGAGTTTGTTTTTTGTGTGTGGTGTGAGACAGGGGTTCTCTTTCATTCCTCTGAAAGTGAAGGCCCAGTGTTCTAGCACCATGTATAAGAGACTATCTCCTCCCCCCTTACTGTGGCTTATTTTGGGGTGTGTAGCAGATCAGCTGTCTGCAGGGGGCTGGTTTTCACGTGGGTTCTCAGTGCTGTTCCCCTGGTCTGTGAATCTCGTTGTACCAGCGCCCGGCTGCTTCGCTTGCTGTTATTTGTCTGTGGCGGTGGGGAAGTGGGAGGCTTCCCTGGCGGTTCTTTGTCTTTGGTCGTGCATTCCTCCGCTGGGGTCTCCTCCTCTTTGCTGAATGATGGCGCTGGATTCTGGATCAGGATGGCACTGTATCTGTAGATCGCTTTGGGCCGGGTTGGAATGTTCACAAGGTTAGGTCTTCCTGATCATTCGCATGGTCTGTCTTCCGTGTAGGTTAGCTCTCTTTTGGTTTCGGGAGGGCCAGGCATCGGACTGGCAGCTGCAGGGTCAGCAGGTGGAAGCACCCGCTCTTCCAAGGTAGAATGACGAGGCTTTCCACGAGCGTCAAGAGTGAGTCTCGGAAACTCTCAGGGGCGGCTCTACCCTGTCTTACGGGGTCCGTGGGAGTCGGCATCCACTCGATGGCAGTGAGTTTGGTTTTTCGTTTCTTATACAAAGTGAATCTTTAGGAACAAATAACCCTGTCTTTCTTCCCTGCAGCATCTGTGGGTCTGATCCTTTGACCTGGCAACGAGTGTGGCCTAGTACTTTCCACGTTTTACTTCACTGAACTCTCAGAAAGACGCAGTGGGGTGAGGCCACTCCCCACGCGACAGTTAGGAAAACAGGCTTAGAAAGGCTGCCGACCTGGTCAGTGGCAGGGCTGGGATTTGAACCAGGACTGTTTGAAACCCTTTCCTGCTGGTTCAGGAGGCTTAGCTAAGGAGGCCACCCTGGGGTCTGCTCTCCTTATGCTCTGGGGCTTCCCTTGTTTGTATGGCAAAGAGACAGCGTGGCATTCGATTCTCCGGCACACATTTTCCACTCGCCACCCCCACGTGGTGTGGCCGCCTGCATAGCTGACCTCTGCACCACATTGCCTGGTCTCATCCCCATTCTCTGCTGGTGGCACTGGGGACGCTGCCTGGAGCGAACCCAGCGGGAACTCGGGGCACTTTAACCCACTTTTGACTTCTGCAGCCTCGGGTGGCCTGTGGACGCACTCCCTCCTGGCTTTTATGCCTTCGTGGACCAAGAAGACCTTGTTCAAAAGGGAGTCTCCTACAACACCCCGCCTGGTGAGTCAGCTGGCCCTGGGTGCTCAGGGACGTCTGGACAGTCAGAAAGAGGGTAGCATGGTGGGCTACGGGTCAAGTGTGAAGGGCCGAGCGTTATGTGGCTCGTGGTTCGGCCGGTGGTTTAAACCCATCTGTGGCTGAACGGGAGAAAACTGAGGCTGTCTGTCCCCGTGATGGTCTATCGACATGGAAACCCGCGAGGGCAGTTCTGCGCGGTCCTATGGGCTGGCTTTGCATCAGAATCAATTCAGTGGCAGTGAGTTGTTTGGGAGTGAGTCCACATGCCGTTTCACAGTGCTATTTTGTCTACACCACATGTCATCCTTGGAGGAATTGTTGGGTCCCACTGGGTCGGCTCCGACCCCCAGCGACCCCGTGCACTACAGAAGGAAACACTGCCCAGTCCTGCGCCGCCCTCACCACGGTCCCTCTGCCTGAGCCCCCTGCTGCTGCCACTGTGTCCGTCCATCTCCTTGAGGATCTTCCCCTCTCCCCCTGCCCCTCCGCTTTAGCAAGCATGATGCCTGTCCCCAGGGGCTGGTCTCTCTGACACCATGTCCAAAGTAGGTCTCTCCATCCCTGCCTCTAAGGAGCTCTCTGGCCGAACTTTTTCCAAGACAGCGCAGTTTGTGTTTTTAGCAGTACTTTCAACATTCTCCCCCAGCACCACGATCGAACGCATGTCGTCTCCTTCGGTCATCCTTACTCGGTGTCCACCCTGCACTTGCCCAGGAGGCAACGGAGATGCCATGCTTGGGTCAGGCATCCCTGAGTCCTCAGAGAGGCACCCTCGCTTTGTAACACTCTAGGGCAGTGGTTCTCAACCTTCCGGTGCCGCAACCCTTTCATACAGTTCCTGATGTTGTGGTGACCCCC